AAAAAAAAAAAAAAAAAAAAAAAAAAAAAAATCCAAAAAAAAAAAAAGTGGTTGGAAATGCTTCAAGTTCCAAATGTGCTGAGAAGCATTTAAACACAATTTCAGCTGGCAAGAAAGGATGCTAAGAGGATACCCTTTTTACACTATTCTTTCTTGCAATTTTACTTGGCAGTTATCTTCTCATACCAAAGCGACTTCACTCCAGCTCTTGGCACCGCCCTAATCCAGACCAACAACCTCACCCCAATAACTTCCTTGCTGTCTTGCTACTAATACCAATACTTTGCTATCAATAGCTTCTCAACTGGTCTATTTTCAGCCTTGTCCCCTCCAATCCATTCTCCCACAGCAAACAACTTGTTAAAATATAAACGTGTTCCTATTACTATCCTACTGAAAACATTTCAGTGTCTTTCTTCTGTTTTTAGGAGAAAATTCCCAAATTGTAACTATGGCCTATAAGAAAGACCCTCTTTCAGTCTAGATGTCCATCAACAGGTGAATGGATAAAGATATGGGGTGTGTGTGTGTATACACACATACATACATACAATGGAATACTATGCAGCCATCAAAAGAAATGAAATCTTGCCTTTTCCAACGAAGTGGATGGAACTAGAGGGTATTATGCTGAGCGAAGTAAGTCAATCAGAGAAAGACAATTATCATATGATCTCCCTGGTATGAAGAATTTGAGAGGCAACATGGGGGGGTTTGGGGAGTAAGGAAGGAAAAAATGAAACAAGATGGGATTGGGAGGGAGACAAACATTAAGAGACTCTTAATCTCACAAAATAAACTGAGGGTTGCCGGGGGGAGGGGTTTGGGAGAGGGTGGTTTGGTGATGGACACTGGGGAGGGTATGTGCTATGGTGAGTGCTGTGAAGTGTGTAAACCTGGCAATTCACAGACCCGTACCCCTGGGGCTAATAATACATTATATATTAATAAAAAATAAAAAAACTTAAAAAAAAAAATACCCAGGGCACCTGGGTGGCTGAGTGGGTTAAAGCCTCTGCCTTCAGCTCAGGTCAGGATCTCAGGGTCCTGGGATCCAGCCCTGCATCAGGCTCTCTGCTCAGCAGGAAGCCTGCTTCCTCCTCTCTCTCTGCCTGCCTCTCTGCCTACTTGTGATCTCTGTCTGTCAAAAAAAAAAAAAAGTAAAAGACCCTCATTCTACTTCACCAACATGACCTACTACTCTATTTTTCCTTCATTATGATCTAGATACATTGGCCTCTTTTAGTTCCTCATTCATTTATATCATCTCTCCCTGTCAAACCTTTCTACAACCACATTCTATGCTCTCTTTAGAGAACTTACTAAAGGTAGTCACAAAATCCATGTGTCTTCCTGCAGACTTTACACCTTCACTAGGCAGCCTATCACAGTGGCTGGGAGTCAATCACAATGCCTGGGTTTCTGTCCCAGCCCACTGCTCATGAGCAATTCAAACTCAAGTTAATATCCAATCCTCACTTTCTTCACAGGCAAGGCAGAACTAACAATAATCCCTACCTCCTAAGAGCGCTGTGAGAAACAAGACCATAAATGCAAACGACTTGGTGAAGAACCTGACACATGACAGATATTTCTTTATTGAATGAAGCCCATTATAACTGATAAATAGCTCTACTGATAAACCAGGAAAAAAATGTCTCTGGTAAAAGATCGCGCTTCCCAAAGCAAATAAAATTACTTAGTATAAATGCGGCACCTTTTCTAACCCTCAGTAGCTGGAAGAGACTCTGGAGAGCATTCAATTCAACTTTTCCTTACAAATGGGAGGACAAGACCAGAGAAATGAGACTACTTCAAAATTTCACAATCGGAGAGGCAGACCTAGAATCTAACTCTATAAACTCTTAGTCCACTAGTCTGTTTACTGATAGCTATTTTTAAAATGCAAGTAAAAACCAATCAGTGCTGAAAACTAATTTGAATTTTTAAAAGAAAATAAAATAGAAAATAGAGTAAACTGAGAGTAGAGAGAGTAACATTCTGGGAAATTTTCAGTTACATATTAAATATGTGGCTGTGGGTATGTATCTTCACAAATGAACCTAATTACAGGTACATATGTATCTATTTTAGGAGTACTATATAAGTCTGTTTATAGTCCCCTTAAATAGATACCTAATTATAATCCAAAATATGAATAATATAGCAGAAAAATAAAGAGGTGGGAACTTAAAAAGGGAAACAAATCCCTCAGCATGTTTTGAGATAATACCTAAAAAATATTTTCCAATAAATGATTTTAATAGGTCCAAAATGTTACCTGCTAGGAGATGTAGAGGTAGGGCTTGAATTTCCAACATGATGCTGGGGATATGACACACTGACATCCTGTGAGGCATGGCTACTTCCTAAAATGAAGTAATTTGAGAAATTATCCTTGACAGAAAACTCAAGTTAAATTTTATCCCTCCCCTAAATCATGCCAAATGGTAGACAGACGCTACAAGAGAAAAGCTCGAATTTCAGAAGACTGCTTTATAGTTTCATCAGAGTGAAAATTTTAAGCGTCCAAAACAAAGGGTTCCAAATAAGTACTATCTAACGTACAAACATCCAATCTGGCCATAATATTCTGATGCCCACACTAAATTTTAACTGGATACATGGAAAGTTTCATCCTCACGTCACCCAGAATCAAAATTTGTAAATGCCAGTCACAAAGCAGTCAGTTAAAGTATTTTAAAAAAACAATCCCCGCTCCTTTCAGAGCACGAACCCAAACCCAAGTCTTTCTAACAACAAAGTTTATGCTCTTTTCAGTAACTCAAACTTAATTTTAAAATGACTTTCAAAATCCATATTGTCGACGTTATCAGTACTAAACTGGGATATGTAAAGCTTACTATCCACAAAGCTTAGGGTATTTTCATCCAACAAGAGGCTCTTTAAAACTGAATAATAAAATTAAAAAGGAACAAAGCAGCAAAGAAAACCTCTCCCCAAACAGTAACACTGAACAGTTACCTGATCTAAATTGAATTTTGATGGGCCTCCCGAAAAGTTTGATTCCATTAAGTAGATTCATTGCATAAGGAACAGACACTTCATGTTTGAAATTCACAAATGCAAACTGTTTTGGTTTACCATCCTTATCTTTTGGAATTTTCACCTTTACTACTGGCCCCGCCTACAAAAAAAAAAAAAAGTCTTAGGAATTTAAATGAGGCAATTTCAAGAAAATACTCAAATTTTACGACGTTTAAAAACAGAAATGTTGGGTATTGGGGAAGGTATTGGCTATGGTGAGTGCTGTGGAGTGTGTAAACCTGGCGATTCACAGACCTGTACCCCTGGGGCTAATAATATATTATATGTTAATAAATAGTAAAAAATTAATTAAAAAAAAAAACAGAAACATAACCAGGAAAAATCTAAAAAATGGACAAACAGGGATTTCCACCTCAGTTACAGATTCTGTCATACGACTGAAGACCTGATTAATTTATTTGGGGGAAGGAAGCCCATAAGGAACTGGAAACAGTTACTCAGTTTACGTTTCATGATGCTTTATGACTTTTTAACAAGGTGACCAACATCCATCACTTTCCCACTCTGGGTAACGTTTATCAAGAGCTAGAGAAAGTGGCTTCCTTGTACTAAAAATTCACTTTTGTACTGACTAACCAAATATTACCAGTTGTTAGAGACTGGAACTGGAGGGAACCAGATACTCTGAATCTTTAACACATTTCAATGCAGATGTAAATACAGAAACACTACAAGTCTGCTTTTTTTTTTTTAATTTTATTTATTTATTTGACAGAGATCACAAGTAGGCAGAGAGACAGGCAGAGAGAGAGGAAGGGAAGCAGGCTCCCTGCTGAGCAGAGAGCCCGATGCGGGGCTCGATCCCAGGACTCTGGGATCATGACCTGAGCCCAAGGCAGAGGCTTTAACCCACTGAGCCACCCAGGCGCCCCAAGTCTGCTTTTCTACGGAGTATTTAGTGTACTTTAAGTATTTTAATGTTGCAATTAATTTAAAAAAAAACACTTAAGTGGAAAGCATACACTGACCAAGCAACTGAAATCTAATTAGCCAGATAAACCGAAGATGAGCAAAGGAATAGGAAAAAGCCCGGCTCCACGAAGAACCCACACACACCGTGCCCCTTAGGATCCTTGAATCTGTACCTCGGGAATGCTTCACTGAGGAAGCCTCCACCAACCTGGAACGAACTGACTAGGGTTCTTCCCCTTCAAGCGACACCCAGCGAGAGCCTCGCTTTCCCGGTGGACCTCCAGCCCCAAGCGGCCCACCCGTCTGGCGCCCCGACCCACAGCCCCGCTTTCCCCAGGAAGGCGGGCACGGCCGTCGGGCCGGGCCCTACGGGAGCCGCACAGCGAAAGGAAAAGCCCGCTCTCGGCCGCTGACCTGGTGGAAAAGCTCGAAAAGGAGCTCCTCGGTCACTTTAGTTTCAAGGTTGCCGACAAAGAGAGTACGATCCGCTTCCGCTGCCGCCGCCCCCATCTCAGCGTAGCCCCCTCCTTAAAAAGGCCGAAGGGTCGTCACCGTCGCACTCACTGCGCACGCTCGGAAACCCCACGTCCTCTCCCTCCCCGGCGTCACGGACGTAAACGTCAATCTCGTTCGCTCCGGCACGCGTCGCCGTGCGCGGACGCGCTGCGCATGCTCGCGAGGAGAGCACCGGTGAGAGGCTGCTCTGTGGTCGGCCGCGGCTCTATTTATGGCCTAACATGTAGGGAGTGGCGGCGCTCGAGACGGCCGGGACTGATCTGTGGAGCAGCGAAGGGCCCACCTTGACCGAGGGACGTAACAGACACTGCGGGCAGTGTTTGAAGATGGCGCTGAACAACGTGTCCCTGTCCGCCGGCGATCAAAGGACCCGGCGGGCCTACCGCGCGTCCCTCGGCGCCCTCAGCTCGTCGGCCTTAGAGCGGGCGATGGTCTCCGGAGACAGCTTCCTCGTCGCCATGCCCGAGGCTGTTCTTCCAGGACCCGCTCCTCGGCAGGCCGTGCGGCCGAGCGTTCGTACCGAGAGCCGTCGGGCGAGTGGAGGCGGCCGGAGCCCGACCCGCTTTATAAGGGACCCCGATGGGCGGAACCGGAGCCGCCAGGCCAGATTCTCTCCGTACCCGGCCCCCGGGGTAAAACTGGATCTCCTGAGGAGCTTGCTGCAGCAGCGGCTGGTTGCCATTGGAAGTGTGATCGCAGCCCGCCTCTCGGCTTAACACCTCCCCGGCCCCTCGGTTCGCTCTTAAACAAGGCCTCTAACATCCTTGGCGCCTCGGCAGTCTTATTTTCAGGGGGATGTATTCTCATTGTAATGTAAAAACACGTCCGGGTCCTGCGAAAACGGCCTAGTACAGGCCTAGTACGGAGGAGACTTGACCTTCCGAATTCCCACGGTTTTAGGCGGCCAGAGTGGTTAGATCAGGAAGTGGGTAGAAGGGATTTTACGCTTAAGTCACCAAGTTGAACCACCCTTCCCAGAGGTTAGCATTTTTTCACGCCTGGTGCACTCCATCCCGACAACGGACCCAAATTTCTCTGCTTTCCACAAATCTTTTCTCCCACCCTGGCAGATTCTCTTACTTTGAGACTTGTAATTAGAGCTTGCTTGACTGCCTACCTCTCTACCCCAGACTATTGCCATTACAGTTACTTTAGTTGGTGAAAAGGAAATGCTTCTTTTTCCATAGGGCCCAAGGCTTATTCTGTCATTTTGTCTTTTTTTTTTTAATATTTTATTTTTTTTTATTTGACAGAAATCACAAGTAGGCAGAGAGGCAGGCAGAGAGAGGAGGAAGCAGGCTCCCTGCTGAGCAGAGAGCCCGATGCGGGGCTCAAACCCAGGACTTTGGGGATCATGACCTGAGTCGAAGGCAGAGGCTTTAACCCACTGAGCCACTCAGGTGCCCCTGTCATTTTGTCTTTAACTCTTTTTTCCATCTCCCTCCACTTTTTCTTCATGAATACCTAACAGACTCCGATCTCAGTTGTACTAAAAACCAAACCTAAAATTTGCTGTTTCTTCACATGATTAAACCAGTTTCATTTCTTTCTTTCTCTTTCTCTCTCTCTCTTTTTTTTTTTTTCTAAAGTCTCCAAATGAGTTTTTACATTTCTATTTGTCATTTTATTACTAGCATTCAGTCCCGGTTTCCTTAATCTGAGTCTGTTGTCCTGAAATACAAGGATAATTTGGGCTCACACTCTTCCTGTTAGGAAGCTGTTCATCAATACACCATAACGTCTTCCTAAAACTTTATTTTTACTCATTCAACAGTGCAACAATATTTAAAGATCTTTCCGGCGGTGAGCACTGTATAAACTACAGTCCAGGAATGTATTCTAGATAGGCTAATAAATAAATAGGTGATCACCACACCCTGTTCATTAGGTGCCGTGATAACAATAGCATTGGTTGCAATGGCTTTCCGTAATGGACTGTCCTGCTTCTTCTCTTACCTGGCTGATCACTCCTTATTTTCTGATACTGTGATTCTCTTAACCATATATTTCCTAAGGTTTACAGGATGGTATTGGGAGAAAATTAGTGGGTTTTTTAAATGCCAATTCTGTGTAAGCAGGTAGACTAGCTTTTTCCCAGTGGACTCTTGTGTCTAATTATGATCAGATAAAGCAGTTACCACACGCCACACAGTATTGAATTGTTAGAACCACATATGAAGAGGAATGTTGGTAAATCAGAGAATTTCCATAAGAGAGTGATTGATATATGGTGAGCGATCTGGAAATCAGATCAGAGGAAAAATGGTTGAAAGGACAGAAACAGCTATGTTTTACTGAGTGCTAGGTATAAGGCAATGTCATAGAGGCTTTTATTATTTATTCAGATATTTACTGAGAACTTATTCTGTGCCTGATACGACCTATATTAAGCAGTTGGAATAGTGTCAAACAAGATCAATAATGTCTCTGCTTTGGTGGAGCTTTATATATGTCATTTAATTCTCACGATGGCACATAAGACAGAGGTCATACTTCATTTCACTACCCAGAAACCGAGGCACAAAGAGATGAAGTAAACTTTCCAAGGTCATACAGCTAGTCAATGCTAGAGCCTTGCAGCCTTGACATCTAGTTTCATTTGAACCATGTCATACAAAAAGTTATTTGAGTAACTATTTTCTCAATTCTCCCAAGGATAGTCTATATCTAATACTTTTCTACATATCTAAAAGGTTAATGCATAATGCACAATGGATGCCTTAGACTGGGCGTTACAAAAACCTGCCATTGAGAAAGGAATCCCCAATCTACATGTTGAGTTTCAGACTGGGAAGGATAATAAAATTAAGGCTGGAGGTAAGAAGTGTTTTCATAAAAGTTAGAGATGCCTAAAAGTGAAAAATAACAACTCTGAAGGTATGATAAGTTCAGCGAAAAAATTCAGAGAGAGGCTGAATACTACCAAGTATGAAATCGGGTTAGAGGTCTAATTAGATCTTCCCCCATTTAACCTATAATTCTGTGCCTTAAAAATTAAACTTGTTAAAATTGGAAGTGGAGAACGGGATGAGAAGAGGAAAATGAGGTATAATATACAGGATGACCATATTTCCTGTACAAACCAGAACACTCGAGGGTGGGAGAGGGTGCTATTAACTCTGCTGAGGCAACAGGCATAACTAGAGGCTGTTCCAGGCCATCTAACCCTTGGAGATGATACAGCATTAAGTATGCCTTTAAAACGTATTTCCTAGCTTCAGGGAAAGGCTGAGATTTGTAAGCAAGAAACAAAAGTCTGGCATAAAAGTGCACGTGAGAGGAGCACCTGGGTGGCTCAGTGGGTTAAAGCCTCTGCCTTAGGCTCAGGTCATGATCCCAGGGTCCTGGAATCGATGGCCCGCATGGGGCTCTCTGCTCAGCGGGGAGCCTGCTTCCCTTCCTCTCTCTCTGCCTGCCTCTCTGCCTGCTTGTGATCTCTGCCTGACAAATAAATAAATAAAATCTTAGAAAAAAAAAAAAAAAAGTGCATGTGAGAAAAGGAAGACCCAAAGGGAATGACTTCATTTCTGTTTGTTTAGATGTGAGATTTTCAGGAGTGGGGTTTTGATTGACTAATAGTGTACATGTGCAAGAGGGGAAGAAAGAAAATACTGTGGTTTATTGTGCCTTGTTTGACAGGAGGAGACCCTTGTTCACATAAATGTTCCATCATTTTAAATCCGAGGCAATGAATATCTAAATTTCCCTTATTCTTAGCATCTGGGCTAATGTTCAAGTAACAATGTGTTCCTTTACAAAGACCGTACCATGGAGTCAAGAACCAACATAAACCTCTGTCAATGAAATTAGCTTGAAGCAGGGACAAAGTTTTCCCAAGAGCAACCCATGTCATTAAAAATGTTAGTGTACAAAATGAATTTTTGTTTAATATCAGTGGTTAAGTATAGCATGTTGGCATTCTAAAACAGATGCATTTTCTAAGAGTAATGCAAAAAATAGTCCAAAAAAATCAATACTTAATATCAGGTTTTTTTTTAAAAAGACATTGTAAATTCCTGTTTGTTTTTTATTGTCTCTTATTTATCATATCATACTAAGTAACTGACTAGCATATGTTGAAGTGGAGTCCTTTTAGAATATTTACTTCCTCTATTCATCAACACTAAAACTCTTAAGAAGAATGCGCATTAGGGGTATAGAAAAAAGAGGCCATGGAGACTTTCCCTCCGTATCCAATAAGCCTTACCTCTAAGAGGGGTAACTTGGATGGGAAGGAAAAGAGGGAGGAAAGTCCTATAGGAAGGATGAGTAAGTGAACCTCTGATGGTCAGAGGCTCAGCAACCTTGTGAGCTACATTGGTTGTCTTTCATTCCTTTAGTGAATCTACCCATATGTCCCTAAAGTACAGCTTAGTCTACTGATTTCCATGAAAAGTACTCTCATTTTCCTATCAACCAAACGTATGCCTGAACACCTATGACTTCATGCCACCGATTTCTTATCTATTACCTATGCTCATTCAAATGCAAAGTCCTGTCCATTTTATCTTCACAGTGTATGTTTCTACATTCACTTTCATCACTTGGATTTTACTTACCTGGATATTTAACCTATTTTCTTTGCCTCTCTCTCTCTTCTTCATCCTCAATGTATACAGCCTCCAGACTAATGAGCCTAAAGCATATCTCTGATCACATAGTTACTACTTCAGTGTTCCCCATAGTCTACTCCACAAAACCTCCACTAGAAATATAAGCTATTTCTTACAGGAAACAAACAGGGTTGCTGGGAGGGATCTGGGTGGGAGGATGGGGTCACTGGGTGAGGAGCATTAAGGAGGGCACTTGATGGAATGAGCACTGGGCGTTGTATGCAACTGATGAATCACTAGATTCTACCTCTGAAACTAATAATACAGAATATGTTAATTAAACTGAATTTAAATAAATTTGTTTTTAAAAAATAAAAAACTACTTTGTAAAAAAACAAGCGAGAAATAAATTTGACAAGTGGTACCTGTTTTATCGCCTTGTTAGGGAGTCATGATGTATAATATGTTAAACGTTCTGACAATTCCTTTAGAAAAAGAAAACTGTTTAACTTCATTTTCACCAGGATTTCACAAATTTATTCGTCCATAAGTTTAAAATTTTTGCATACTATCTCTCTTCCCGAGGAGCCTCAGTTCTACAGAAACATAATTCTATACGCTGCCTTACCTAAGAAGTTTCATGGGCTCCCCATGTCAGGTATAGAAATGTAGCAGAATTCGGGAAGTTTCCAGAATGTTATTAGGCAAACTGGTCGGTTTCCTCACTTGTGGTTTGATCAGATTCAATCCCATCTTTATTCCACATGATGACTGGTACTATCATTGTCTTTGACGAGTGGGGGGAAGGAGGGAGGCAAGCATGCGTCTGCAGATTCCCCAGCCACTGAGGATCAAGACTGGCATAATCACTGAAGGAGAGCATTAGGCACATCCCCTGATGAAAACAGGTAGGTGGGAGTATGTCTTAAGTATGCTAGTAACGTAATATTTTTTCCATGTAATGATTTGCTTGGTTGTTACCTTCGGTGGAGTATCTGAAGGCGGCCCTTCTTCAGGATACAATTCTAAATCAGAGGAGGAAAATACTGCCTTCAGCTTCCCAAAGACCTAAGAGTAACTGAAGCAATGCAGCTCTTAAAAACTGCACACTCCATAAACAGACTCCGAAGACTTTCCACAGTCTGACCACACTACATCGCCAGCCTTCTTGTTCATAACGTGCCCAGGTGGTTGCTGGCTTTTCCTGCCGCTGTGCCCATGCCTATTGTAGTCCCCTTAACTAAATTGTTTGTACATCTTGGGGCACCTGGGTGCCTCAGTTGGTCAAGAAGCTGCCTTCGGCCGGGGTCATGATCTCAGGGTTCTGGGATTGAGACCCATCTCAGGCTCCCTGCTCAGCAGGGTGTCTGCTTCTCCTTCTCCCTCATCCCTTCCCCCTGCTTGGGCTCTCTTGTGCTCTCCCTTTCTGTCAAATAAATAAATCAAAAAAATAAATAAAAATTGTATGTCTCTTTCTCTGCCAATTAAGCTTTTAGCCTTCCAGATTGGTCCAGTTTCTTTACATTATAAAGGACACACCCATTTTAACCAGGTTAAGCAAAAAATGGACTAGACTGAT